GGTCACGTGGTCAATAACCCCGTCCCATTAGAAAAATATGCAGGGATTGCTTTTCTTAAGTTTTCTCTGTCGTATTGCGGAAACGCAACTGTATGGCAGCTGTCATTTTATTTGTATTATATTATGTCTATGGTTTGCTACATGAATTTTCCCTTTTATCTTTTATGCGACAACGTTATCAGCGATATCTAAATTGCTCCAATCTTTTAAAATTATATGGTTCTATTATTAAATTTATGCTCTAGATCTAACCATCAGCATAACTAGGAGCTGTTTTGTACCTTGGGCCGTTATTGGATTTCATCGTACATAGGTGCTATTTCTATCTTATTAAGCTGTTCTTTAATTTTTTGACTATTTGAATTGAGAATCTATATTTTATTCTACTGTTTATTAACACAGATTTTTTTGGCGCCCATTTCCATCTTAAGTTTTTTGTTTCCCGTATCATTATTACAACAATTTTTCGGGATACCGACGTAGGAAACCCGTTGCTATGTATTTGCATGTTTCGATGTCCAACAGTAGAAAATTTGTCCAGGATTGTAGCTACGCATTGTATGCGTAGCATCGTACTGATGTTAGTGCTGCCCCTTATAAGGGAATGTAATATGAAAGGAAAGTTTTGGCAATTTAATAAGATCTTGTGTGTTAGAATATAACTTTTTCAAGAAAGTAAAGGGATATCAAACCGCTATTCGAATTTAATCAATAGCTAAAATATTAAAATGCTATAGAATAATGCTTTATTAGCATTAATAAGTTTATAATAGACACTTACTTAAGTTTGAAAATAATTAGAGCAAGTAATATAAATTATCACCGTGCTTATTATACATAAAAATAAAATAAAATTATTATAATGTTAACAATTTATATTATAACACATTTAAATACATTAGCCAAATATTCCTGAAATTCCTCGATAACTAAACTGGTGGATATTTAAATAAATTTTAAGTTCCCAAAATGTACCTGCTATAAAATTTGAAAATCTACGACTAATACAATTATTGACAACATCGCAGGGGCTTAGTTGTGTACGCTAAAAACTATATACGGATCCCAAAAATATTTTATCCAGTTACGGAGTCCACTTGATCCTACATGTTGGTCGGAGTTTACATAATGCGCTACTTAGATAATAATATACACGGTGTATATTCTACTGGAGTTAGTATAATACCGTTTTAGGACGGAGCCTACATTAACCGCTAGAAGTATATATATATATATATATATATATATATATATATAATCATCATCATCAGTGGTGCTACAGCTCTAGTTGAGCCTTGACCTTCCCCAGTCTATTTCGCCAGTCGTTTCTGTTCATCGCCAACCGTTGCCAATTTGCCGCGCCGATTTTCCTTGCGTCCTCGTCCACACCGTCCCTCCATCTCAGTCGTGGTCTGCCTCTACTCCTATTTCCCACTGGGACCGATAATAGAGTTCGTCTGGGTGGGTAATTTTCATTTGCTCTTGACACATGTCCAGCTCATCTAAGCCTGCCTATTTTTATGAAGGATATTACATCTCTACCATTTACTATTTTTTTATATTTCTTGTACAATTCGAAATTATATCGCCTTCTCCAAATACCATTCTCACAGAATGCGCCCATTTATTCTTCTTAGTATCTTCCTTTCGAAGACGAGCAGAAGATTTGCGTCTGTTTTGGAGATAGTCCATGTTTCTGACCCATATGTCAGCACTGGTAGGATGAGTGTTCGATATATTATTTAGTTTGGTTTTTCTGGCTTAAGTTTCTGTTTTTTAGCTGCTTGCTTAGTCCAAAATAACATTTGTTTGCTAGCAGTACCCTCCGTTTAACTTCTTCAGATGTGTCATTATCGTTTGTTATGAGAGAACCCAAATATGTAAACTTATTTACTACCTCAAATATATATATATATATATATAATATATATATATATATATATATATATTATATATACATAATAATTGTGTTATTAAAGTTGAGTGTCAAAGCTTATTATAAATAATCTCAACGACTAGTAGGTAAGTTGCAATGACGAATTATAATATTTTGTAAATTTTTACATATTCTTTTTATTCTATATTACAGTGTCTTGAAAATAGAATAAAAATAATTCCGAAAGCTAGATAAAAATTCAAAAGAGTGTTTCTTTAACATGTTCCGCCAACCTTCTGACTGCAGCCCTAATAAGCTGGTTGTTTGTTTATATCGACAGTTACTAATATCCAGTATTTCTTATATATATATATATATATATATATAAATATATATATAGTATATATTATATTATATATATTATATATATTTATATATACATTCAGTCGTAATCACCATGAGTGGCATTACAGCCTCGTTATGAGCCAAAGTCCTTTTTCAGAACAAATCTCCATTCGCCCCTGTCTCTGGAAACTCTTCCCCCTATTTTGGCTGCGATGGGTTTTAGATCATCGTCTATGTTATCTTTATACCTAAGTTTTGGTCTTTCTCTGGCTCGTCTTTCCACTGGTCCTCTTAGGTCAAAAATTTTTTTGATCGTTGCATCTTCATCTTGCCTAATTACATGTCCTATCCATCGAAGGCTTACTAATTTAATACATGTTTACAACGTCAGGTTCCCCAAAACTTCTTTATAACTCAAAAGTTGTAGCGCCTAAGCCACAAACCCTGTTCTTGGATTCCTCCATATATTTTCCTTACAATTTTTTTCTCGAAACGTTTAAGCAATTCGTGGTCGTTCTGTGTAAGTGACCACGTTTCTGACTCGTATGTTAATACTGGCCTTATTAGTTTTTTATATATGTTAACTTTAATTTTTCTGGGTAGTTTTGGGGCCATCTGTTTTTTCAAGCCATATTAGCACTTATTGGCAAGCACTATTCTTCTTCTAATTTCTTCGCTGACATTGTTGTCTTTGGTCAGCAGCGAGCTCAGGTAGAAGAAGGTGTCCACACCTTCCAGTTCCAGATCATAGATTATTAGTCTAGGTATCCGGTTGTCTGATCTAGTACAATACAAATACTACACTTATGCGCAATAAATTTAGATAAATTCTCGTATAAGTACAATTAACACTTTCTATACATCATTTTTAAATTATGTATGGCATTTTTCAAAAACAATATATTATATTATGCTTGTCGAAAATTAACGTTCGATAAGCAACTAGAAATTAATTTGGACTTGTATGACTAACTACCAGACCAATTTGGTATTTGGTAGACCAGACCGATTTGGATTTGAATTGAGAATTTTTATTTTTATTTTAATGACATTAACACCAACTGATGCCTCGCCTCAAAAACCATGGATTGAGTGAAAGGGGGCCGTAGCCAATATTATGCCGCCCAGGTGCTAGGTGTGCTATTCAAAGAGTCATTCAGCGGTTTAATCAAAACGGCAACTTTACTAGAAAGTCAAGATCAGGCTGTATGATGATTTGCATGCGATCATCGATTTTTGGTATATTTGTGTTTAAAAATAGTCATCTAACTAAAATTAAGCTGAAAAATCGCCTGAATAATTTGTAAAATATGGATGTAAGTACTTAGACAGTTCGTTAAACGACTTTATGAAGCGAATTTTTTATCCAGAAGACCAGCTATAAATTCACAGCTAAAAGTGGAACAACGCAGAGCTTGACTTGCTGTTGCAAGTTAAAAAGAAAATTGAAATTGCAGTAATGTTTTTAAAAAACACGCAGATGGTAGTTATTCTTTGTATTTAGATGAGTCCAGGATTCGTAAAATATTCTAAAGAAGACAAGAAGAACATTTACTCAATACAATATTGTTGAGAGAATTACTTATCGAGAAGGCTCAGTTATGGTTTAAGCTGCAATAAACATAACTGTACTGACTTGGTTATTGTGTATGGAAGTTTTATGATAGGATCAAAGTATGTAACAATCATTTTAGAAAAGCATGTGGTACCTTATGTGCTATTTATAGGACCTATTAATATTTTTATTTTTTAGACTATACCATGCGTTCTCATCGTGTAATCGCCAAAGATTAGTTAGAAGAAGTCGAGATTGTCCATATTAATTGGCCAGCTTTGAACCTCAATGTAATCGAACATATATGGGACACATTAGAAGATGAATTTATGTTTGGCTACCTCACCCAAACAACTTGCCTGAGCTTAGTGCTGCTCTTCAGACAATATGGTACGAAATGGGCCAAATTCAAAATATAAGTACCGCAGTGCGAAGATGTATTCTTTAGGCCAAGGAGGTCATAACTATTTTTTATCGACAAAGTTTCTATTTTGTTCAATTTTTAAATAATGCTATATGATTTTATAAATAAATAATTGTTTGCATAATTTGTGTTTCTTATTTACTTTAATATGCTCTTAAATATGCCCAATGAATATATATATATATATATATATTATATATATATATATATATATATATATATATATATATATATTATATATATATATATATATATATATATATTAAACTCTTAAATATTGGGGAAATCTGCAATTTTGCAGATTTCCCCAATATTTAAGAGTTTACTATTTAACTTATCTGCAAAGATTAAATTTCTTTTCTATATATATATATATATATATATATATATATATATATATATATATATATATATATTATATATATATATATATATATATATTTATATATATATATATATATTATATATATAAATATTCTTAAGTAATAATTTATTCATATAGATTTTGTTTATCACTATTTTTATTTTTATCAATAGAAAACTTTCCTACAAAGTAACCGCTAAAACTTATCATGAAATGTGTTTGTCTTGCCAAAAATACACCTACAACTTCATCGATACCGGTAAATCGATAAGCTTCTTAAAACTAATATCTCTGATCGTAAAATGATAGGGTGGACAATATCAAAAACATTGTTTTCAAAGATGCCTACTCATGACCTTAATTGATAACCAGAACTTGATCTATATAAAGCTAAAATACTATTTCATTTTGACCAGTACGAGAGTATATTTCCAATATGAATATTAAACTATTGGTAAGTAAAATTTGTTGTCTAAATTGTATTTATATTGGTAACACAATTTGACCCCAAACTTATATTATGATCTGTTCTATTCGTTCTGAACAACTATACAATTCAAACTATTTAGGTCGGAGTTATCTTCACTTTTCCACTTTTTTCCACTTTCCACTTTCCACTTTCCACTTTCCACTTTCCACATTGTCTTAGTTTTTAAAAAGAGGTGTAAGGATGCTTGATCTCCATTCTTAAAGAATTGGGTTTTGTTCTATTATTTTTTAGATTAGTTTTAATAGCTGTATGGTCAGATCTGGTCCTCCATACTTTAGGATTTCGTTCGGTATTCTGTTCTCCCCTGGTGATTACAAGTAGTATGGTCATGTTCCCTTCTGAATGTGTTTTGGTTTTATTAGTCTGTTTATCTCTTTTCTTTGTCCACTGATCATTCTCCATATTTCTTCTTGTGTTCCGTAGAAGTCGTCTTCCATATATTTTGAGAAGTTCTGTAAGTGTTCTGACAGACAAGATTTGTGTTAAAAATTATGTGGTTCCGTTTTTAGTTCTTTTTGGATATTAATACTGTTATGCTTGTTTTCCATTCCTCTGGTGTGGAACCATATCTTATTATTTTTTATTTTTGTTAACTCGTCACGATTTCTGAGCTACCGTACTTAATACGCCGTTATCGATAACGTCAGTTCCTGACAATTTTCGATTTTCCAATTTCTTGATTGCGGTTGCTATCTTTTCGCTAGTTATATATCTTGTTCATTATAAATATTGTCAATATTTGTTACTTTAATCTTATTCTTCGCTGTATATAGTTTCAATGTATCAGATTTCTAATATTTGTTGGAATTTCCTAATTTATTTTCGTCTTTCTTCCTTTTAGCATATTTCATACCTTCTTTTGACCTCTACACATATTATGCTCCGTCTCTACGCAAAATATTTTAAAGTATATTTGCTTTAGTTTCTATATTTCACAGTTTATTCTATTCTTAACTTCATTGTACATTTCGCATGTCTTCGGATTTTTCTTGCTTGTGTATCTTATGTAAGCATTTCATATTTCCTTAACTGCTTCCTGGGCTAACTGTGTGCTACAGTTTATTGTTTTTTCATTAGTTTGTGTGGATTGTTCTCTTGGCTCTACTGCGCTACTTGTAATAGTAGCTTATAATTTCGCACATAAATCTTTAACGCTGTCTATTTCTTTTATGCATTTCCGGGATACCATCTTTTTCATTCGTCTTTGATAGAGAATTTTGGTATTCCTATTCTCAGGGGATTCTGCATTAAATTTTGTTATATAGTTTGGTTCCCTTCTTCTCGATTAGTTATATGCGATTAAGTATTTCTTGAGAGGTAGACCGCCAGATATCTCTTCATCTCTTTGCTAATTCCTCCTGCGATTGCTAGTTTGCTAGTTTTCCTTTTATCGTTGTTCTTGTTAGCTTATGCTTTTTCATATTTTTACACGATTTTACCATTATCTTTATCTGTTGTTTTTTGAACTCACTCTTACTACATGTTATACGCCGCATCGTTCGCTGAAGAGGTCGTTTCTTATTCTGTCTCTTTTTATTTTCTCTAAAATGACTACTAGTATTTTTACTTTATTTTACGTAGCATACTTATATACTTATTGGTGTCTTATTGTGATTTTGTTGGTGAATAAGTGATCTAGCACAGGTTTTATAAATTTTAACTTTGCTGTTCGTCCACTTGTGTGGGCTATTCCAGACAACGGCAATTCAATATGAAGTTTGTTCGTATCTAATTCGTCTTTACAATTACTCAGAAGATTACATCAAAAACAAAATTCCAAGGCTTTATTTATATTTCAGACACTCCTCCTAGTTACCGTAGGTTCCGCCTACGGAGGCCTCCTCTTCGGGAAAGGCAGTATCATCGGTACAGTTGGGGACGCCCTCGGCATTAACAATCTTGTAAGCGTTAATGCTGATGCTGAAGCTAACCTTCTAGGTAACAAAGTTGGTATTGATGGAGCTGTAGGTATCGGTAAAGAAGGTATAGGTGCTCACGTTTCTGGAGATGCTGACATTTTAGGACAAAAATTAAACATTCATGGTGATCTTCTTGATGGACACGCTATCGACCAACACCAACACGAAGTTTACAGGTAAAATCTAGAGAGTAGAATCCATTTTTGTAATTATGAGAAAATTTGAGAAATAAAACTCTTAAATATCGCAAAGGGTTGTTATAGATTTTGTTTTTTGTTTTGCGAATCCAATCTAATTTGGTAATTTGATTTAGAAAATTTTTAAATGTTGATAAATTTTTAGTTTTACTTTTTTACATTTATAGGGCTATGTACAGTTTTAATATGTATAAACGCCATAGTTTAGTCTTGTAATGCCTTAAAAAAAATTACCTAAGAATAAGAAAAAAAGTATTTAAATTACCTAGTCGTCATTCGTAGTTTTTGCATCATTATAGCATATAAATTCTTTTACAGAAATGTCTTTTATGCAACTAATTTTGTTTATTTTATTTATTGTTAATATTATTCCAGCTTCTTCCGCTTGTTTTTTTCTTTAAAACTCATTGTTTAAAATTTTTCTTTTTTAGAACTTTTTTATTTTATTTATGTGCATAATTTCTTTTTGCCAAATACATGTAATTTAAGTACACTTTTTTAATATTTTTTCCTCTATTTTTGAGTAATAAAATCTTATTTTAAGCTTATAATAAAAAATTTAGAATGAACTATGTGAAACTTAACAAACAAACCAATTTATAACTGAACCATCAGCTGGCTCTTCTTATATACCTGGTCGATTTTATTATTTCTTCTTCTATGAATGATAATTTTCTTGAGGTTATTATTGACTTCCTCATTTCCTTATTTCTTTTCTGGTGTTTTTTATTGGATAGCATATTCCAAGTTAATTTATCTTTTTTAGTCCCTATACTTGTGTCTAGTGTTTTTCTTAACCTTTTCTTTGTCAGTTATACAGACGCACTATACGTAAAATCAAATCTTAATTGTCTTTTCCTTTTATTTCGATATATTCTTTATGAGTACCAGAAACAAACTCGCTAATGATTTTAGCTTAGTTGAGGAGATATGTTGTGAAATGCAATTTTAAAATCCTCATGTCTCCAATTACATCTTTATCAACGTCTGTTTTGCCTTGCAATTCTTAGAAGGCACAGATTAAAGCAGAAATCTAAATTTGTTTCCAAAAATAAGCTTACGGATTTATATGCAAAATCATTTGTTGTGATCCTTTCATACGTTGATACCCTTGTTGTTCCATTCTAGTTTTTTTTTAATGTCTTCTAGAGCAAGTGTATATAGTTTGGAAGAGATGGTGTCTCCTTGTCTTACTCCTCGTTGTAGTCTTGTATAGGTAACATTAGTTAGTTTATAAGCTACATCTTCTCTCCGATGTATATCATTTTCAATGTAGTTAAATTATCGCATGATTCTTTATATGCCTTAATTACAATAGGTTTGGCAACTATTTATTTTTCTACATATTTTCAGTATTGTTTCTTGTGTGTTGTTTTGAAGAGTATTTAAATGTACCTGTTGTTTTTATTTAATTTTAATTTCTACTCTGAATTCCAGATTCTTAGGATACTTTTTTTCCTATCAATTTGATTTTTCCTTTTGCTTTAATTGCTGTTTTTTATGTTGTGGACCATTTTAAATTTATATAATTTTCAGTTACATGTTTTTGAAGATGTTACTGTCCTTGTTGATATAAATATCTTATGCTATCCTCTTGCAAAAATTCAACAACTTTCCTGTATTTGCCATACTGCACTGCTGTAGGTAATTACACTTTTAATGATTGTATTATATATCTTGTGCGTGTTATTATTAGAGATTGATTGATTCCAAAGGATACTATTCAGAAGGGAAATTGCTTTTCTTGTTTAATTTTTTTTCTCCTCAATTGTGTCGTCTACGTTGCCTTCGTACACATATACTCGGTTTTTTGGATATTAATTTTAAGTTCATATTTTTTATACTTCTCGACTAATTTTCGAGTCATATATAATATCTTTATAATATTGTGCTATCACTAGTTGATCATCTGCAAATGACAAAGTGTATATGCTATTGTTGTTCTATATATCCCATATTTCTATATTGGCGCTTCCACAGTTCTAGAGCCTCTTCTTCTTCTTCTTCTTAGCCTTCTGTCGTCCATGTTTGGACATAGGCCTCTCCCAACTCCTTCCATCGGTCTCTATCCTGAGCAACACATTTCCAATTTGTTCCGGCTATTCTTTTAATGTTATCAACCCATCTCATCTGTGGTCTTCCTCTTGGTCGTTTACTTTCGTAAGGTCTCTAATGTTGTATTGTAGTATTCCAACGTTGGTCTTTCTGTCTAGCAGTGTGACCCGCGAAGCTCCATTTAAGTTTTGCAATTTTTATTGTTATGTCCTCGACTTTTGTTTTGGATCTTACCCAGTCGTTTCTCTTTATATATGACAGTCGTATACCTAACATTGCTCTTTCTATTGTTTTTTCTATTGTTACTAGTTTATTCATGTTTGCTTTGGTTAGGGTCCAGGTTTGACATCCATATGTCATGATAGGAAGAATGCATTGGTTGAATACTTTGCTCCTCAAGTATTGGGGTATTTTGCGGTTCTCAAGTATCCAACTAAGTTTTCCAAATTCTGCCCATGCTAGTCTTGCTCTTCTAGCAATTTCCGCACTTTGGTTCACTTTGTCAAGTCTCAGGATTTGGCCTAGGTAGATATATTCCTGGATTTGTTCTATCTTACTGCCGTTTATAGTTATATATCTGGGGTCTTCTGTGTTTGTTATTATTTTTGTTTTTTTTCATTTTCATGTATATTATGTATTAGTTGCCTATATCTCGAGTCTATTCTACAATTGTCAATAGCTTGTTCTATGGCCCACATCTCGATACTATTAAACGCCTTTTCATAGTCGACGAAGGCAAGAAATACAGGTAGTTGGTAGTCATTTGCCTTTTCTATCAATGTTCTTATTGTCAGCAGATGGTCTGATGTACTATATCCTTTGCGGAAGCCAGCCTGTTCAACCAGTTGGTAATTATCCATTTTGTAAGTTTACCCGTTATTAATAATTCTCATAAATAGTTTGTATACTTGACTGTGCAACGATATAGGTCTTTAATTCTGTAGATCACATTTGTCCCCTTTTTTGTGTAAGAGTATTACTAGACTCTCGTTCCAGTCTTTAGGGATCAGGCTATTATGGAGACATCTATTAAATAGCTCTCTTAGTACAGGGATTGTTAATGTATCGCTTATTTTCAAGAGCTCGGCAATTATACCGTCGTGTCCTGGAACTTTATTATTTTTTAGTTCTTTTACAGCTCTTTCTATTTCGTATCTCTTTATATTTGGTAGTACTTCTGATCCCACGTTTTTTATTTTTCTTTTGACGTTCTCCTTTGTTGTTTCATTAGGCTGGCCTTGCGAGCTGTACAAGGATGTGTAGAAGTCTTCGATAATATTTGTTATTTTATATTTGTCCTTCTCTACCTTATTGTTAGCGTTTAGAGCCTCATCATCATCAATTAGCCTATATTTGTCCACTGTTGAACAAGGTTGTAGGCCTCCCGTAAAATTTTTCACCTATTTTTATCTTGGGTTTCTTGCATCCAGTTTATGGTAATGCGCTTGATATCATCTGTCCATCTAGTCGGTGGTCGTCCTCTGCTTCGATATGCATCTTGACTTGGTCGCCATTCCAGGATCTTTCTGGTGCATCTATCATCCGTTAATCTGGCAACATATCCGGCCCAAGCCCATTTAGCCATGGCTATTTTTTCAACTGCATCTGTGATTCCTGTTCTTCTTATTTCTAGGTTTGGTACTTTATTTCTGATGGTAATACCTTTCCATAGCGCGTTGTGTAACTCTTATTTTACCTATTGTACGTTTTGTCAGATTTAGTGTTGCTGCACCACATGTAAGAACCGGTAAAACGCACTGGTTAAAAACCTTTCTTTTTAAACAAACTGGAATACTAAATGGACTTGAAAATGTTATTCAATCTACCAAAGGCCGCCCATGTGAGACCTATCCTTCTTTGTATTTCAGTTTTGCCCTAGATTATTGTAAGCTATTACCTGGTCGATGCTATGGCTTTTAATCAGAATTTTACCGCTGACTACAAGGTTGGTCATAAATTTCATCTTTGAACTGTTAATTTTAAGACCAATTGTTTTTGATACTTTATAGAGCGTGCGCAGCATTTTGTAGCTTTATCAACTCTATCAGATATTAAAACGATGTCATCGGCAAATCTTAGGTGGTTCAGATCCTTAGGCTTTTAGAGCCTAATCTATATAGATTTTAAATAATGTCGGGGAGAGAAAGCAGCCCTGCTTAAGGCGTTTATTCATTTGGAATCCACTTGACAGAATATTTCCAACCTTAACATTTAAGTTAGCATTAGCTTAGTAGCGCAATAGTTCCTTCGCCGCATTTATTACATTCATGCTTATGTTTGTTTTCTCTAACGTTTCCCATAATTTATAATGCGGTAAGCTATCATAAGCCTTTCGTAGATCTATATACAATAAATGTACTTTTTGATTAACGGCTATTTTATTAACAATAATCTGTGTAATGCAAAACAAATGGTCAACAGTATATCTACCTGCCCTAAATCTTGTCTATTCCTCAGCTTCCTATTCCATATAAAGTTTTTATATTCGCTTTCTATTTTGTTTTTAATTACTTTTCTGTATACTCGACTGACCGAGTTTGTTACGGCAATGCCTCTGTAATTGTCACATTCATCTCTTCGCCTTTTTTGAGTATAGTGGATATGAATGATGTCTTCTACTCCTCTGAAGTTGTCATTCCATTAATGCAGTTTTGAAACAGTTTGGCTAAACTTGTATATAGTTTGGTTGTACCGTGTTTAATTAACTCTGCAGGGATGTTACCTGGACCCGGTGATTTGTTATTTTTTAGAGATCTACATACCTCTTCCACTTCTTTTGTTGTTATTCGTATGGGCGAAGTTAAAATATTTATATTTTGTGTTTCGTTGCTGTCTTTAAATAGTGGTCTATCTTCCCTTAGGAGTTTCTCAAAACATTGGTTCCAGTCATCCATTGTTATTGTTAATGCTATTTCTCTCTTGTTATCTTGTCGTAAAGATTTTAAGACTTTTCAACTTTCTGTGGTTCTTCGTCCTCCTAGATGTGAATTTATCATGTTACACTTTTGTTGCCGTGGTACATTTTTCTTCCGACATATCATTTTCCGTTCTTTAGCTTGAGACTCCTTGTAGATTATTGTATCCGTTACAAACATTAATAAATTAAACCAATTTTGTTTTTTGTTACTTGGTGAACATATATGACTTTAAAATGATATTACCAATATTGCTGAGTTGCTTTCCTGAGACGACTTTTTCGAGATATCGAGAATCGAGAGAACGATAGTTCACTCGATTCACTATCCCGACGTGGTAAGTATTTGGTGTTACATTTAGTTTACTCTCAATGAACAGCAAAGTCCGATTTGGTATGGTTTGTTATTTAAAAAAACGTAAATGATGTATCCTGGATATGTTACTGACTTACTAATAGTTGTATTTATAATTAGAATATAATATAGTATTATAATATAATAAAGTAGTCTGCTTTCAAATATATAATATATATGTGGATTGTCAATATAAATAAGTCAAATAAAATTAAATTATTAGAAGAATTTTTCACCAAGTAACCAAAAAAATTTTGCTTAATTTATTAACGTTTGTATTTTGAGAACAATTTCCGAAGTGGAGATTGAAACGTCAATAAACTTGTTTTAATTTTTAATTGTGGATTATTCCCTTTAAAATAATAATTACTTTAAAATACTACAAAAGAATAGCTTGAGATCAATATTAGGAAAAGTTATGGTCTGACCAAAATATTCTGTGAAAATATTAAAAGTAGCTTTTTATGGTATGTCTTCGTAGAATTTGAAACACATTTTAACAAACCTTAATCAACAAATCCTTTATATTCTTTAATTACTGTAAAACTTATTTAAAGCAAATTTAAAAAAAAATTATTTCTGTGAAGGTAATTGTTGAACTTTTGTACTTGACGGATATTAATCGCGATTTTGCACAGTATTAAAGCTATGTAGTTATCAAAATTATCCTAGGCAAAAGTTTTGAATGGTATTTAGTGTATTATAAACAAACTCTATATATTCATAGTTTTTTACTAATCATTTTTTTTATCATTACAGAGACAGTAGAGGACGTCAATACACCCTTCAACGTGAATACGTCGGTTCCAAATCCGTCTTGGCCAGAAAATACTTAGACAACGGACAAATTTATGTCGAAGGCAAAGACGACGACGACGAGATCCAACACAGGCAAGAACAACCAAATAGCGGTAACTACTGGGATGATAGAACAAACCAAATTGTTTTCTACGATCCCTCCAAAATCACCAGCAGCAGCAACAACGTCAATGTTATTTACGACCCAAGCAGTAACGGAAATATCGTAATTAGAGACCCTGGTAGTTTATCTAACACCAATGTTATTTACGTAAGAGACAGCAATGGTAATATCGTAGCAGTTCCTAACGGAAACACCGGCAATATTATCATTAGAGATAATGGTAAGGGTAATTTTAAATTTAGTTTTTATATATACATATATTACGTTCTTTGACCAACACCTTTAACACTTAAATACCTTGTAATGTAATACTTGCAGACGTTTTGTCTAAAGAACTTCTTTTATCCAGTTAATACTGAAAATCTCTTAATTTATCAAATGTTATATACAACTGATATTTTAGGCCAAGACCAACAGGACTACCAACAGTGGCTGTGGAGACAACAGCAACAACAACTATTGAATCAACTACAACAACAGCAGCAGCAACAGCAGCAGTGGACCATCCAACGTGTTTCAAAATAATAAAAGAATCTAGTCAATTTTTTGTAATCTAAATATGTTCATTTTTTCTTTGTCTAAATAAATTATTTTTAAAATTGAGTAATTCATTTTTTTAATTAAGTTAGTGATTATAGGGACAGAAATGTTCACAAAAGTAAACCGTTAAAAATAATTTAAAAAAATTTACTCCAACGTAATACAATGTACCACCTATCATGGAAAAACACAACTTATTTAACATTAAAGTTTAATTTTATTTGCCTTCATCCTTCATTATGTGGGGTTGACTTTCCTTATTACATTGCTTTTTGAGTTTCTATCTTGGGTCATACTATTTACGTATTTTTTGATCTTTCTCTCCTACTCCTTCTATTTCTTCGTATTGTATAATTAAAGTCTCGACATTGGACATCTCAGAACCAACTTAACCTATGCTCTCCCATTTTGGCATCACCTAGTGTCACCCCTAGACTTCCTCTTACATACTTAGTCTAATTATTTGTTTTACTATACACACCTATTTTTTTTTAATTGCTGTATTGCCAGATTCCAATGAGAGTCTAAAAAGGTATCCAGTGAACTGTGGCTGGCAGCGGTGGGAGAAACCTTTTTTAGACATCTAACGTCACATAGCAAGATACCTTAAAATCTATGATCCGAGTAGGATACTAGGTTACAAGACCCCAGGATGGTGCTGGATTAACCGTAGCAGCGCTACAGGCCTTATATACCCCTGGTTTCCAAAAACTAGGTTATTTTCCTCCATTTTTTTCGGTCTCCTGCTTGCTGACTACAATTTGTCACGCCTATTTCTGACAAGTTTTGCTTTACTGCTTCCAACCATTTCTTCTTTGGGCTTCTCTTCTTTTTTCCCCACTTCTCCCTCCTTCAGTATTGTTTTAATATTTCGATTATCTGGCATTCGTATAATGTGACCAAGCCATCTAGCCCTTTGAGCTCGTATTTTTGCTGTAATTGTTGGTTTTCCATACATCCTCATTATTTCTTTATTCGTTCGTCTTCTCCAAATATTCTCTGCCGTCTTTATTCTTTCGAATAGTCCTTGCAGGACAGTCATAATATAGTATAAAGGTATGTTATATTAAGGAAAAACTTAAAAATAAACATACCTATCACCATAAATAAGTAAAAAAGCCATTAACTAATTTTGGTGCCGTTTCTTGGCTCTCAAGAAAAAGCAACAAGATTTCAGATCCTGGTTCAATTTCGTCCTCTGTCCTCCTGCTTTATTTTTTTCGTCACCTTAGAGATCAGGTAGTGTACTTCGCCCCATTCTTTATCCTTTGGCATCATTATGTTCACCATGTTTTTTCATCCAGCCTAAAATATTACTCATCTCTTGAATTCTTCTCGCTCATTTGCCTATCTCTTGCAGTGAAAAATGTGGCTGGAAGCGTCTGGAACCCAACAAACAGTACAGTTCACTAAAGTAGATTTCCCTTACCTATTTTCGAAGGTGCCAAAACTACCATGTCCGGTCAGAAAGTGCGTCAGAAAGTAGTCTAATTTCCTGAACTTACATTTCCACCGCCTCTTTAGAGAAGGAATAAGCTCCTTCATTTACCTTGCCTTTTTGCTATCATTCGCCCGTTCTCTCTACGTTACCGTTCTTTATCGTTCTTTCTGTCTTTTCCTCATCTATATTTCATCCATCTTTCTCGCGTACACCCTTGCTCGCTTTTTGTACAAAACGGTCGGTATCTCCATAACAATGACATACAGAGCTTCATTTGAGGCCGTCGTCCTGTAGGCGCTAGATACCCTACGGGAGCAGCACTCAGTCCTTCCGGCATCCACACTCCGAGATACTTAACCGCTTCAACCAGTAAAACCTTCACCTCTCCAAATTTGTATCTATAGACCTTGTACGTTCCATGTGCTGACATTGACTGAGCATCTAAGTTGTAACTTTTGTAGACCAGTAGCGGTAAATTTCCACACGATGCTTGGTTATTAACAGTCGTGTCGCAGTAGGTGATTTTTCACTAATCGATCCTGAATCAAGGCAGCGTCGGTCGTCACCCAGACTGCCTGACAACATCTCACGCTATCTCTTAGTGGGAGCGCCCACCAAAGTGGCGTGGCACATAGCAAGTGGCAAGTAGCACGCGTCTAGCTTGTTTCTTAAAATGTAACCAATGAAAACGAATGATTCAGCGTACACCAAAATGACAGTGACGTCATTCATTCTAATCATTCGTTTTCATTGGGTACATTTTAAGAAACATGCTAGACGCGTGCTACTTGCTACGTGCTACTTGCCACGCCACATTGGTGAGCGCTCGCCCTTAGATGGCATCACAGTAAACTTTCTTATTAATAACGCAGTTAATTCCCATGCGCTTCTAGATCGTAGTGTCTAGTGTCATAACCATTCCACTATTACTTACCCACCGCAAATTTCTGCCATAACAACTGAAATAGAACAGGGGCTGACAGTTAACAAATTTTAAACACCTTGAGTAAAAATTTTCATAAAAACAAAACAATAAATACACATACATACCTTCTATATCTACCTACTCTAGGTACCGAGGGTTTCGTGAATGATTGAGGTCCATAAAATTTTACAACTGAATTTTATGTATTTAAACCCGTTAAATTCGATTCTTTAATATGATAAGTCGAATTTGACAAGAAATTGTTATTAACAATTTAATTGTTTAAATACTTACAACTAACAAACTGATGAAGATATACCTTTTTTTAATTTTTTGTTTCTTTAATAAAAAACAAACCAAATAAACTTTAAAAAATTAAAATCTGTCATTTAGTAGCCGGGATACTACATAACAAATTTTAGAATGTACCAGACATTTTTGCTTATACCTTTGCTTTTGCTCAATAAAAATAGATTAAAAGTACCCGATTTTAAAGCTATGAAGACAGGCCTTTAAATGAATTAAAAAAATTAAATTTTATGAATTTTTGACGAAGTTATACAATTTTAAAGTGTACAATTTAGTTGTAAAAAAACAATCTAATTTGTTTATAACGTATTTCATTCGATATGAGCGAATAAAAGCGAAATAAAAGTAAGTAACAACATACATAATATACCATACAGAGAACTTTGTAAGACAGTAAACTAAAATATTGACATACGAACTATACAAAACCCCTAAAATACGTGAAGAAGTAACCACAAAGATGTACAAGAAGTCCTTCCGGAAGAAGTAGAATCGACAATCACAAAAATGAGAAGTAATGAATAGCTGAAATGGATGCGATATATTATAATAAACAATACTGCACTTGACAGAGTAGACAGTACGATTAAGTACATAAATATGACTCTATACTCCCAGAAATCAACAAGAGAATGAAATTGGCTTAAGCACCTTAAGTAAAAATGCAGTTATATTCAAATCAAGGATCCCCTCTACCTAAAAAAAAGAACATTCGATTATGAGTGTATACTACTATTAATATCATACGGCTGCAAAACTTGGACACTAAAAAACGAGATAAGCTTTAAGTCACTCAAAAGTCAAGGGAGCGATGCATATTAGGAATAAAAAAGAGAAATTACAAAATAATAGAACAAAGAAACCAAAATGAACTAGCACAACAAAGGCCTATCCATTTATATAGAATACCTCTTCTGCTTGTACTTGTGCTGTTTCCCATGCCGTTATGTTATAATCCCATCTTCACTATAGAGGTCGTCTTGATCTCTTGATGCCTCTTGCATACCACATTTTGATTCTAGTGCACTATCTATTTTCAGTTCTTTTCGCTAAGTGTCCCTCCTACTGTCATTTTAGAGTTTTGATTTTGTGGATTACATCACTCAGTTTTCTGTACAATCAATTCTATTATATTGTGATCTCTCTTTATTATTCATAACATACATCGCTCCATTGACCTTTGATGAAGACTAAGTTTCTCTTTTTCTTTAGTGTCCGTATATTTTGCAGTCATGTATCATGATTGCTATGGTCTGTTTTTTAACCAGGAGGAGTAATTCAAATTTTCCGCGCCGTAATTCTTGTTTGTAATTGGTCCAACCGCAGACAAGTTTACTCCACTAAATTATGACATATTGACACTAATGACACTTGTGAAATTTTAATATTCAAAATTTATATCGATGATTTTTTGTATTTTCTGCGTTATTCCTTACATTCATAGATTTTTCGTTTGCATTTATATAAAGAACAGTTCTTTTCAGAACTATTTAGTGTTATTAAGATAACAATATGGATTCAATGTCAAGTACTAGTGGTAATTATTCTTCTCCACCTTAAAAACGCCGAGTAGATTTGGGTCATTTATCAACAAATAAGAAAAAATGTTTTATAAACATGTACAAAAAAATGAAAATTGATAATTCTGGATTGAAAATAACAGCCACGGTAGCAAAAGTAAAACAGGCAGCAGGTTAGTTATGCAGAATAGTTATTATTAAAATCAAAACTTACTAAAGTAATGTGCTAATTTTAGGTGTTGCGAATTCAACTATTAACCAAACAATTATAGAATATATGCAGACTTGTGATATTTTTCTAGATGATATTTATACTAAATATTGTTTAAAGTATTGTTAAGAAGCATTTTCATTTGTTTTCATCACAATAAAAGAAGATTAGTAAAGTAATATTGTGTTTTAGTTTGATTGCATTGATGCAGTTGGTTTTGTTCTTCCTGGTTGTAGATAATCACAAGAAAACTGCACAATTATGCTTGAATGTAACATAATAGATTGAATTTGTTAATTTTAGTCAATTTTATTTATTGATAACAAATGTTACAAACTCAAGAATCCAGCATTAAAAAAATTGGAAGTACACACTTATTTATACAAAGTATCTATTTGCATTATAGTGCTTCAAATAGAACCTAAAGATATTGATACATAAGTTAAACAAATCTATCTAATAAGGTAACTGATTACCAAAATACCACACCTATATTTGAACCATAATTTATTCTGTGATCGGAAATATGAAAAAGTGAATTTTAAAGCAGTGAACGGGAAGGAGTATGTAAAACAAATT